TTACTACATCCCAATATAATACTAATATTTTTAAAATTCCGTACAAAAAACAAATGGATACATAATTATGGGACATAGGGAGTACAATAAATCATATCACATACAAATCATACTGTAAAATGTCAATCCCATTAAAAAAACAAAAAAAAAAAAATTCTTGAACCAAACGACCCTTATACTATAAATTAATCCGGTCGAAATCAGTGGTATTGTCTTTCTCAAAGTTTTTTGTTTTAAAATATTTTATTTTATTTGACATTTTGTGTATTTGATAAAATTTATTAATTCAAAATATATTTAATAAATATAAATCAACTTAATTAATTTAATAACATATCAAATAGACTCATAATATTTTTTATTTCTATATCTCTATTTAGTAAACAAATATTTTTATCTATATTTAAAATTTTTCATCTTTTATAAAATTTATTTATATTAATTATAAATGAATAAATATTTTATTTATTTGTATTATATAAAATTTTATTCTTTACAAAATTATATTCATATTACATATATTTTATTAAAATATAAAATTTAAAATATTTAAACATATATTTTAATTTTTTAATCATATATATTAATTCTTATTTTAAACTTACCACAATCCTACTGGCATAAAAATAATATCTTTTAATTAGAGCCGTCAAAATGGGCTAAGCCCGTTGAGTTGGCCCGTCCCGCCTTACTTTTAAGGAGGGTTGAGTTGTGATTTTTTAAGCCTGTTAAAATGCGGGCCTAAATGGGCCAACCCGCATGGGCCGCGGGTTGAGGGTGGGTTGGCCCGCGAGTCAAGTAGATATAATAATTAGTACTCACTCGTCTAACTAAATGTATTTTTTTACCATTTTGTACTGTCATATTAAAAAATTATAATAAAACTAATCAAATATTAATATAAAAATGTATTTTAATTTTTTATAAATTACAAACATACCATTATAAATAAGTTAAGACGAATAAAATAAAATTTATATTATCATTAGCTTAAATAAATTATTAATATTGTCTACACATTGTTTTTCTTTTCTAACTATGTTATTCATGACATTGTTATTTGTTTCGATTTTTCATCATTTGTTTTGTTCGTCTTCCATTTTATTATTTTATAATTTTACAAATTCATAAAATTAATTATGATATTTTTAAAATGAAGTATTTCTTATTATTAATTTTTTTAAATACATCAATTAATAATATTTAGAATTGAGAATTTTTATATTTGTTATTTATTTTAAAATATTTATTATTTAAATTTTACATTAAAACTATTTTTAAATATTTTTAAATATTAATTACGAAAATATTTATAATATTAATATTCTTTTAATATTTTTAAAAAGCTCATGGGCGCCCGCTTAGCTCGCCACCCGCCGGTGGGTTGGGTTTGACTGATGAAATTTTGATCCGCTCCGCCGCGGGTTGGCTCGCAAACAACCCGCTTATTTACGGGTTATGGTGGATTGTGGATCAATACGCTCCACTAACCCATTTTGACAGATCTACTTTTAATACATCGAAACTTAATTAGTTAATAATAATAAATTATGATATTATTTCATTATTTTTCATGTGAGTGTTATTAGTTGTTTTAAAATAAGAATTAATATACTCCATCAATCCATTCTTAATGTAACTATTTTGTCATTTCAGTGCAATTCTAATGTATTGGTTTCATTTTGTTAGTAAAAATATTTTCATTTTATAAAAAATATCCTTAAACTTAACACAATATTATAACCAATGTAATTAAAATGTAAATGAGTTTAAGGACAAAATTATCTTATTATCTTTAATATTATCTATAAAATACTAATATATTAAAATCTGCGTGTAAGAAATAAAAATTACATTTGCCCCGGACAAAGAAAATATATAATTTAAAAAAAATAGAATATTTATTTAAATATTTTAAAATGTATATTTCAATAAACTATATTCCATCTCATATTAATATCACTTGGTAGACCGTAGTAAAATTTTATATAATAGAAATAAATAAAAAATATATTTATTTTTTATAATTTAAATAAATTAAATTTATAAAAGATGAAAAATTTAAATGTAGATAAAATATTTCCTTATTGAGAAAAAAAAATAAAAATAGACTTTGAGTGGGTATGATGTTATATATTATGAAATTAATTAAATTAATTTATATTTATTAAATATATTTTTAATTAATAAATTTTACAAAATATGTCAAATAAAATTAAACATGTTAGAACAAAAAAATATCATTTGTTTTGGAATGAATGAAGTATATTACTCCTCTCTCTGCGACATTTTCTTGTGTAATACTTTTTCTGTCCCGACTCAGTTGACACTTGAACATCGTATTTAAGACAATAATGTTTAATTAGTTAATAATAGTGAATTATAATATTATTTTATTATTTTTTATGTAGTTAATAATATTGGTAGTTTTAAAATAAATTTAACATATATATGACTAAAATAATTAGAATATGTATTTTAATATTTTTAAAATTATAAAGCCATAAAAAATATATGCAATATGGATATAATTTTGTAAATTATAAAATTTTCTATAATACAACTAAATAAAAAATTTGTTTATTTATTTATAATTAACATAAGCCAATTTAAATATTTTTAAAATTATAAAGCAATAAAAAATATATCAATACGGATATCATTTTGTAAATAATAAAATTTCTTATAATACAACTAAATAAAAAAAATATGTTTATTTATTTATAATTAACGTAAGCCAATTTTACAAAAGATGTGAAGTTTTAAAAGTAGATAAAAAAATAGTACTCAGCCATTCATATCTATTTTCACTTTCATTTTTTTTATTGTCATCTAAATTTATTCTCGTTTTATTTTTCAAGTAAAAAACACCCATTTTCTTTACCTAAAAAAGTAAAAATTTCTATTCTTACATATTTTTTTTAAAACTCGTGTCCGGTCAAATAAGCACATAATTGGACGACGGAAAAAAATATTTGATAGATAGAAATAAAGGGGTTATGTTGTTAATTAAGTTGATATATATTTGTTAAATATATTTTGATTCAGTAACTTTACCAAAAATATAAATACATGGACACACAAAAATTGAAATGAAAGGAGTATTTCTAAAATAAAAAATAATTGAATATATTTAATTTCTACTTTACTTTATCAAATTACATTACTCAAATAAAAATACATTTTTTTTTTCTTATAATATTACTTAATTTTCAAATTATTCTATTTTATAGTGCTCATTTAAATTTGCCTATCAAATATTGCACCATGGATGTAGGAGTATATCACAACAAGTAGAACCAAATAATACAATTTTCTATCTCTATTTGAACGCCAGAAATGGCTAATTCTTTAAAAGTGGAGTAATTAATTTCATTGGTGAGAAGGGTAAGCAACAGTAAGGTGCCAAAAAATTAAAATAAAATTTGAGTAATAATGAGATGAACATTTTTCCAGCAAATGATGAAAAAGACATATCGACCATATATAGTAAGAGATTCAAATCTAAAATAAAGAGGGGTTTGAGGATGGACAAAAAAGATTGTTCTTTTTCACAAAAATTTTCGAAGGATAATGATAAGGAATGGTGTTGTTGATTGATTGGAAATATATTGGAACAGGGAAATATACAAATATGCACATAAGACCAGGCTGTTTATTTAAGCCCCAAATGTGTTCGACGAAATGCCCCAAAGAAAGAATCAACAGACAATAAAACAAGAGGATCAACCGTGACAGATTTGATTTTTGCCACACCTCCCAATGCATAAAAAATCAACAACCCTCCATAATCCCAATCCCAGATGCACTATAGATATGATCTATTATATATATATATATAATGTTTGTGGACAACAGAAGATTGAAGAGGGAGGAGGGAAGGGCAAGAAATGGAGCACATGAACACACCAAAAGGACAGAGAAAGTGAGAAGAGAGGAATCAGATTTGCAGAGTCCATAAAGAAATTATATAAAAGAAGAGCAAAACCACATGTGGATACCCACTCACTCAGAGAGAGAGAAGGGCAGAGAGAGAGAGAGAGAGAGAGAGGGAGAGAGAGAAAGCTCAACCCCATGTGAGTGTGTGGGCTGAAAGTGAAAGGACTTGTAATTATGTTACTACTACAATACTACTACTACTGCTTCTGCAATTTACAACCCTGATGGATGAGCGAGAGAGATGACTGCCCCCCATTCAATTCAACTCTCTCTCTTTCTTTCTCACTCTAAAGGACTTTGATGATATTATGTTACCCAGATGCCCATTCAACTGGGGGGTGTCAGCACCCATGTGACTCTGTGGCCCTCACTCACCTTAAAAGAGAGAGAGAGAAAGAATGAGAGAGAGAGAAACCCACTCATACAAACACACACACACACTACACACACTTTAATGATACACCGCCCTTTATCTTTTTCCCTCTCATTTCTTGTCTGCTTTATTCTTTTCAGTTTATTTTATTCTCTATTTAACCAAACCCCATCCCCAATTCACCATTCATCCATAAAAATCTAATCTTTACCCACCTGGGCTGCTAAGTTGCAAATGATTTACACATTGATGATATACATAGCATAAGGTGGAGTGGGGTGGGGTGGGGTGGGGGATGGGGGGGGGGGGTTGAAGTGAATCTGCATTCTACTACTATAATATTAGTAAAAGTTACTCACTGCTAGACTTTTGTATTGTTATAAGCAGCAGCAGCTATGGGTGGGTTGTATTGTGGTCCAGACAAACATCTAGAGAGAGAGAAAAACAGGGTACTACAAAAACCAAGAGAGAGAGAAAGAGGATAGAGAGAGAAGTACCCCCCGCTCTCATAAATCAGTTCATCTGTCCTTCCCCCGTGCATCATGTATTGTTGTAAAAACTAGTAGTATGATGTTGATGTCGTTTGATGATGATATCAATAATAATCCTCGATCAAGATTCCTTTTTTTTTTTTTTTTTCTTGCTTACGGTTGGATTGGATTTGTCTGAAGGGATCCATCGATCGAACTTCTTCTTTGTGTTGTTTTGAAGGTTGTATGTGGTCTTTTTTTTTTTTTTACTTGGCTATACAGCTACATAGATTTCTGCCTTTTTCTTACTTCCTTGTATACTTTGTTGTTACTTTCTGCATAAAAAAAAGACACTAAGAACCTTAAAAATGGATTAGGACATAAAAAAATCGAGCAAAAGCCGTCGAGAATTACCGGTGGCTAAGTTGTTAATCGCTGTTCGCTACCTCAAATCAGTTCTACTGCACCTACATTTCGATAACTTCTTGCCCGGAGGACGAAAACCTGAATCGAAGTCCATGTCGATCATAATCGCCGTAAGTAAAAAGGCAAAATTCAATAAGAGATCGGTTTCGTTACCTTGGCATTTGAAGGTAACATGATTTCGGAGTAATGCCGGGGGAAGAACTGGCTGGGTTGTTGCTATTGTTAGGAGACGGCGACATTGTTACGACGGGTTGTTCGATTTCATCACCCGAAGCTTCGGAGAAAGGAGGATTACATTCCGCCGCTGCTTTTGTCGGAGACGCGAAGAGGTTGTCGGGAAGGATGTGCTCCAAGCTGCGCTCGAATCCATCGAAAATAATACGTCCGTATAGTTAGTTTGCATAGAAATCGTCGATTTAAAAAATAAAAACCGTACCTTTCCGGTAGATCAGGTTCACCGGCAGCTGCCTCGGCAGAAGATTTAGCTGCATGGGAAATTCGAGATTTTATAAACGATGTCATTTCAATATATACGGCGAAAAAGATGGAATTAAAACGACGGGGAATTCTATAAACGATGTCTCGACCTTCAGAGTCTTCTTTGTTAACGGCGGCAACGAAAGTTTGGTTCATCAGTAAATGAGAGTGTCTGGGAGACGAAAACGGAGCGACGGCGGACCTCAAGTTCGGGAGAAATCGAGGGCTATGATGCTGATTTTTGAGGTCGAAAAGTTGTAAGTTCATCATCCTTTGGCCTTGAAGTTCGATGGCGTGCTGCAACTCCGCCTCCTCCAATTTTCGTCTCAGCATCATTTCTTGAGCGCCGAGCAGCATTCGATTGTTATTACCAAACGGGGAATCGACGTGCTCTCTAGTGTCTCTCCCGGATGGGCTCAGACAAGCTGAATGCTCGCCTCTTTCCAGCTGCTGTTGCTTCCTACAACGATCAAACAAACAACATTAACAAATCAAAAATGTCGAGACACAATACAAGGTAGGATAGGATTATCGATTGCGCCCATATATTACTTCTCTAAGATCTTCCCTTTCTCCTTGTACGGCTTGACGAGCACGCGAGAATCGCACACGAAATGCGGGTTCCCTTTCGCCAAGATGATCTTGACGGTCTCCGGATAGACAAAGGTCACAAATCCGAACATACGCTTCTGCTGATACGGAATCCGGACATCTTGCACCGGTCCAAACTTACTTCAAAATCGAACATTTTCGTCGTAAGAAAACAAAAAAACATCGTTAGCGACGCCTACTGCGCATCAAAGCAGCAATTCAAGACACATTCATCCAATTCCCTAACCTGAAATAATTCGAAACATCGTCTTCCTTGAATGTACTATCCGCCGGGAACGTTAAATAAATTTGTCGGGAGCTCGAATTCGGACCAACAATCAAACCCAATGCAGAAAACTCATTCCTATTATATATATATCATTACACCAAATTAAGATCGATCAAAGCTAATCAACAGTCACATTTGCAATTCAATTATCAGATGAATCGAATTCGAACAACATTAGTAATATAGAAAGGGTCACAAAAAAAGAAAGTGAAAATTGGGTATGCAAGGATCGATTAGTCGAACAAAGAAATGGCCAGAGATGAGATTCTTTAGCAAAAAAGGTGAGATTTTTTTAACCCCTCCTAAAAATAGATAAACTTTACTACAAAGTAGAAGAACATTAGTAATAATCGAATTTGGGTCACCTCGGATTCTCGTTGTGATAACCAAACGGATGGTGACCCGCCATGAAAGCAAACCTCTGGTGCTGAAGAGTCCGCAGTCTCAGCAGCTCATCAAATCCGGCGCCATTCTTGCCCGGAGACCCCATCTCCATCGCCGCCGCGGCTTCGGCGGCGGCGGCAACGTCACTGTGTAAGAACTTGCAGGCACTCCCATTCTTACAAAACCCTCGAGCGAAGTACATGCAAGGCCTCCACCCCCCGCCGCCGCCGCCGCCTCCTCCGTCCTCCAGACCGGACAAAAATGCAGCAGCGTCGTTAACGGAGCAGCTCCGGCGGTGGAAAGGGTGGGGCGAAGAAACGCCGCCGTTGCCGTCGTCGCCGTACGGGAAAATCATCGAATCACTCCTCCCGCTAGGGCTCATCACCGGATCCACAATCGAGTCGTCCAGATACGGAAATTCATTCCCACCACCACCGCCGCCGCCGCCGTAAAAATGCAAGCTTGGCGAGCCACTTCCACCGCCGCCTCCGGCGCCGGCGCCATTGCCGTTGAGAGCAGCAGCGTAGGAAAAGGGGCGGGGGCTGCTCCTCTGGAAGAGGGAAGGCGAGGGAGGGCCGCTCAAATGGAAGCCATTGTTGGGGACCAAGATTCGCGGCGGAAAGGGGCTGTTTCCGGCGCCGGCGCCGGCGGTGAGCCCCAGACAAGCCTTGGCCTGGCTGATGTAAGAAAGCAGCAGCGATTCAGGCCCGAAGGCCAATCGAATCATCTCCTTCTCGCCCTGGTCTTGTATGAGAATATATCCCATGATTTTCGAGGCGTTGTCCGGATCCAAACTTTGGATCCTCGTCATCACTACCTTAGTAGCTTCGTACTCATCCATGGCACCAAGAAAGACGACTATGATGATGAATGATTTCTTCGATTATATAAAATCAGCAGCAGCACAGCAGTAGAGTAGTAGTGAGAATTCGACCAAGACAACCTTTGTTTCTCTCCCTTTCTCTCTCTAACTTTTCTTTTTGGGGGAGAGAGAGAGAGAGAGAGAGAGAGGAGAAAGGGGGTGGGTGGGTAAGGGGGCTTTAAGTAAGCTCTCTCTCTCCAAAAGGGCTCAGCTTTTGTAATAAAAATTGATTCTTGGAGGAGTGTGTGTGTTCTGGGGGGGGGGGGGGGGGGGGGGGGGGGGCTAATAAGATTTTTTTAAAAAAACAAATAATTAATTAAATAATTAACGTAAATGATGAAGAGGTAATGATGGGTTGGGACTTATATTTGGGTACTCATTGCGAATTTCCTTAAAAAATTAATAATGTTTAGATACAAATGATGGAATAATTTTCTATCTATCTGATTGACGGATCTCTCGCCTCTCGACGACGACTTGGAGACTGATTGGTGAATCTGCGCCGTTGATTCTTTGTGGGCCCCGAGAGATGGGTGGCGTGGATTCGTCCGGTGTTTTGGTCCAATGACTGTGTCTGTATGTATGGTCTTGATGGAGAAGGTGAAAGGGTGCGTAGGTAGGGTAGGTGGAAATGAAAATAATAATAATAATAATAATAATACAATATTTATTCGAAGAATTTAAGAATGCATAATGGTTAAGATAGATAAATATATGTTGATTAAGGATTTAAGGTTATTTACCAGTGTTAATTTATTTGGTACAGTATGCTTTTGCATGCAGTTTAATAGCTTTGTTGAATAATTAATTTAACATAATATTTTGTATATATGACCCGCTTATCATTTGCCTTGTCTTTCTTTTTTTTATTTTACTTTTATATAATATATATATATTTTTTTTTATAAATTTCTATCAAAATTACTTTATTATATAATCCCTGCTCCGGAAACAGTAGACGCATCTGATTAGTAAGACTGATATTTAGAATAATTAAATTTAGTCCGTTAATAATAATCAATTATGATATTATTATTTTTTTAATAAACTGTGTTATTGATAGTTTTTTTTTTTAAAAAAAATATGATTAAAATAAATATAAAATATATATTTGAATATTTTAAACATTATATTTTAATAAAATACGTATAATAATAAAATTATTTTATAAGAACATAAAAATTTATAAATAATACAAATAAATATGTATATTTTGGGAAATCAGAAGCAGTTACGATATTGATTTGGGGAAATCAAAAACAATATTTTAATTTATCCAAAATATACAAATAACACATGTCTTTGTCACAAACAATAGATATTGTATGTGTTATGTGAAATAAAGACATCTATTATTGTTTATATTTATAACTTGTATAAAAATATATCATATTTTAAATCAATTATTGTATGTTACGTATGTTGTCTGTTACCACATAATGTACTGCCATAACTTCCGTCATGCATATATGCTTGTATTTTTATTTCATTTTTTACTATTAGTTTTTCTTATAAGTTTCACCGGTCAAAATTATAATGAAATTATTAGAAAATTTATACTAAATTTAATTTAATGCAAATAATTTAAGAGTAAGTTATAATTTATGATTTTCCTTTTTAGAATAAATCAAATTGAAAAAAATAATAATAATTATGTCTCGTTTAAGTTTAGTAAGCCAACAACAACGACAATAAATTTGAAATAATAATATAATTATTTCGAAGTCTGACGTGGATCCTATGCAGTTTGAGTATCTCGGATGTCTTAGCTGGATCCCACGGAGTCGAATATTCGCGAAGTCTGACATGTATCCCATGTAGTCGAATATTCGCGAAGTCTGATCTGTATCCCATGTAATCGAATATTCGCAAAATTTGTCTGAATTCTACGTGGTTGAATATTGTAAATTTTTTTGTTTCCTATAATATATGTATTTTTCTCAAGCAAACATATATATTTTCATGTTTAATAGCAATAATAGTAATAATTTTATAATGTCGAATCATATTATTAAAATTTCAGCCAATTGATACATTGAGGCTTAATCAATATCAATTTATATATAACGTGTCCATCTTAATTAGCCCAATTTCAAGTTTGGTCCATGGCCTTATGAGATTCAATCTTGATCGTTGGGTCGAAAATTTTTTGAACCGTTAATCTTCAATAAATCCTGCGATATATGTTGTGTGTGTGCAATATGGGTAGATATTACCATAAATCAAATTACCAAACTGTGATTTGTATGTCAAGGGTTTGAAATTTCGATTTTGGCAAAGACCGAGAGCTTGCAACTAGGTCCGATAGATAAGACCAGAAAGTGTCAAAAATTGGAGTTCTTATCTTCATGATTGCAAATTCATCATCACATCCAGAAACGTAACTACATTTGGGCAAGGGGCGCCAGCCCCACCTCACCTCTTAATTTTTATTATTTAAAAAATATTAAAATTTTGGAATATAAATTTGTTTTGTACTAAAAAATTATTTTTTTATTATAAATATATCAAAATTTTAGTATATCAAAATTTACGGTATGATCTAATATTATATTAATTTTTTTAATACGGGAATAATGATATTTTAGTATTCGGTATAGTGATATATACAAATAATTCAATATATTGATATTACAATTATTATTTTAAATTTTAGTATTTGGGTATGAAATAGTATATATCGATATTGTACCAAAATTTTTGTACAATTTCAATATATACATTTATCATACCAATTTTTTGGTATATCGAATTTTGAAAGGAAAAAAATTTGCCCCTCCTCTATTCAAGTTCTGATTCCACCGTTGATCACATCACTATGTCATCCTTTGCAGGACTTAAAGTTTTCCATCTTAAAAATATAATAAATGGTATAGAAGCTTGTTCTTTATTACTCCATCTGTCCCGCCCGCATTTCATTTTTTAGTTATCTTATTCAATTATGTCACTTTCCTTAAAAAGTAAAAACGAACAACTTTTAATCACAATTAAATCTTAATCAATATTCAAATTATCTATTTATGTTTTACTCACAATTATTTTAAAATTTTTATTTTTTTTATTAAATTTAATTAAAACAAATAAAAATAAACATGACCCAAAATTTTGAAAATTCAACTCCAGCATGATATGAAATCAAACTTAGGCCGGATTAGTGAAATTTTTAAAAAATAAAAACATTTTAAATTTTAATATTTTTAAAAATATATTTCATAATTAATAAACTTTAACGATGTATTTGGTTTGAAATTTGAATCTACTCTGGAACTGTCCAAGTACATCACCGACGTACTCAAGCGCACCATCCGAATTGAATTCGCGTTGCTTCGGGAGGAGGAAGCTCAAAAAGGCAAGGCACTGATGGCCAACTCCAATCCGTCGGAAAACTGGCCACCTGCCACCTTCGCAGCCAGCTCCGGGGTGGATCCGAACTCCCAGGCGCTCAAATATGGTGAAGTTGGTATTTTTGGTAAAAACGGATCTCGAGAACCTTCGTTCAACGCCCGGAAGTTCAAAGAATTTAGCGCGCCAGCTGGGCATGCCTTTTTTGGGCCACCTCCGACAGACCAATTCGGCATGACCTTCGGGTTAGTACCATTAGCTCCGTCTTGCATTCGGGTTTGTCACTCACCGGAACCACCTCTAATGCTCCAACCCCCGTTCTAAGCCTCCAAGGATATCCGACGCCCGAGCAAGAGACCGCCAATACTTGAGGAGCAAGGTCAACAACGGTTCCAACACCCTCATTCGCTCCAGGACCTTCTGGGATAATGTGGGGACTATGGGGAGCTATCCCAGTGACATCCCAATACACTTGGGGGCAGGTGGCTGCCACAGAAGGTCAGCTCGCTGCTGGTTCCAGGATACAACAAAATTTGAATTTTCTGCCCAAACACCCCCCGGAAATCCCCCAGCACAACAGACCGCAACGTTCAGGGAAACTATGGGAGGCCTTAGAGTAAGTTTCCTACTATGGGAAACTACTTATCAGGTCTTCCCGCAACCGGAAGCCCGCAATCCGCCGCCCGCTCAGGCAACTCCCGAGCAGCCTGTGGGGCAGCTAGAGAAGTGTTGCCGCTGCCACTCCAAAATCCTCAGGCAATTGAGGATGCAATTCGAAGAATTTACAATGATCCCATCTATTTACCGGCTAGGCCTCACTACCAACAGCCTTTCCCGGGGTATATTCTTTTGGATCACATGTTGCCTCGCAACGCTCGCATTCCCGAATTCACATTATTTTCTGGGGAAGATTCCCACTCCACCATCGAACATGTTAGCCGATTTACGGCGCAATGTGGAGGAGAATACGGGAATAACGATTGGTTTAAACTCCAGCTCTTCTCTTTGTCTTTGATGGGTCCTGCTTTTTCGTGGTACACTTCGCTACCTCCGAATTCTATCCATACGTGGGTAGACATGGAGAGGGTCTTCCATGAGTGCTTTTACAGCCCTCTTCTAGAGGTGACCGTCTCAAATGTGACATTTACGTCAGCATGAGGATAAATCTGTGTAACAGTTCCTGGAACGCTTCAGGAGTCGGAAAATAGGTGCCAAGTTCGTATACCAGAAAACCAGGTGGTGAACATGGCCATCGACAACATGACGCATCAGCTGCGTGATAAACTAGCCCTCTAGTAGTACCACGATTTCCAGCAGCTGACATCCAAAGCTGTGAAGGCCGGGCAGCTCGTCAAAGAGGCTCAAACGGTACAAAATTAGAAGTTCCGGGGTGGAAATCACTCTGTTTTTGCCCAAGAAGAGGGTGCCGATGTCGAGGAGGAGCATGAAGAGCCCTTCCATGCTGAAATTTTGCAGAGGAAGGCATATACATGCCGGCACTTAAGCCACCCCGACGGAAGAAGATGAATCCAAAGATATCTTACTCGTTCGACATCATGAAAACGGAGCAGATTTTTGAGTATCTGCTGAAAGACAATCAGCTCCGCCTTAAAGAAGGTCACAAAATGCCGACCGAAGATGAGCTGAATGGAAAATTGTTTTGTAAGTGACATGGAGTATATGGTTATCAGATTGGTAACTATATCACCTTCCGAAAAGAAATTAAGAAAGCCATCAAAGAAGGTCACCTCAAGCTTGCTGAAAAACCCAACCTGAAAGTAGACACAAAACCATTCCCGGCACCAATAAACGTTGTCGAGATGCGTCCAACCAGGTC